TCCAGCAAGCCTGTAATGCAGGGTGGCTCTGTGTGGCGGGTATGTTCCATGACAGCTATAGCTGTTCTCTTGTTGAATTATCAGACAGAATTTGACCCTTTTCCTCATAAACTTGAAATTACTGTCCAAGCATTTTATGTGCGGTTGTTCACAAACAGTTTGTTTTGATTACAACTTCGGTTTTGCAATCTGTTTGTGAATTGATTCTTGTCTGCATATATTTTGCATTCAGATGCAATGCCTGAAACTTAAATAAAGAGGTGGTGAAGGGAAGCTAGAAGGTTTGAGATGCCTCCATTAATGCTTGCTGGAGGCTCCTTTCTCTGTGCTCTGAGACAGATTTGTTCCTGAGCCTCTCTGTAGTGGTTCAGGCCTCATAATCTCTGAACAAAGAGAGCAGTTGGTGAAAAGAAAGAAGCGGTTCTGAAGGGCAGCAGGTTGGGCATGGGAAAATGAGTAGTGTGCGGTAGGAAAGGGAGTGGTGACAGTGATCGTAAAGTTGTTATTAAAAGCATGTGTGTTTTGCGGGGTGGGTCTTGTGCAGGTCAAGTGCCATGAATGAGGCGCCCATTGCAGTCGTGACTTCACGCACTAGCGAGGTGTATGTCTGGGGGGGTGGCAAGTCCACCCCCCAGAAGCTGGATGCCATCAAAAGTGGCTGCAGTGCACGCCAGGTGTGTGCTGGTAACACTCACTTTGCTGTGGTGACAGTGGAGAAGGAGCTCTACACCTGGGTGGTAAGTGAGAGAAACCACAGGAAGTGTTTAAAGGGGGAGAGGAGAGTCTGGATCCACCACCAACTATTCATGAGCCTGCTAAAGCCCAGCTTGGAAAGAGAGAAATTTAATTGCAGGGAATGCAGGGGAATGGAGGAGACAGTCTGCTTTTCAAGTCTCCCCAGGCAAATTATTTTTGAAAGAAGTTTTCCATCATCCTGAGAAGTGTTTTGGAGATCTGCTGTGCACTTGAGGCTTCTAGGTGGTGGATCTGCAAGCGCAGAGCTGTGTCACACATCTCCTCTTGCTCTTTTTGACCACTAGAAATGCAATGGAGGCTTTATAGCACTCGATTGGCTTTTATATTTTTGAAGAAGGTTTTCCAAGTTAGTAAGGGATAGGATGGTTGACCTTAGTGTAGTATAGAAGTTATCTGTGAGGAGACTTCTGGATGTAGACATAACTGTCCTGTACTAACTCTGATTTTCATGATGAGTGTAAATTCTGCAACAGCTTAAAGTGAACAGAAACTGGTAGCATATAATGTATTTATAGCACTTGAGCCCAGTCATCTCGGCTTTACATGGTTAATAACAGGGTCAATTTCCTACAGGTATCCAGGCTTACAGCCTTTTGTATTTATGATACAGAATCTGTTAGAAAAGATTAGGAAACACTGGTAAGTAGGTGAGAGAAGAAAGAGGTCCAAACTGGAGAGGAGCAATTCGAATAATTCACTGGATGATCCTGCAAGCATGGCCATTGAAAAATTTCACCTGGCTATTAACATTTTAGTTTCAGCTTCAGCACTACTTGGAGCTGAAGTTTGTCTTGCTTTGCCTGTGGACTTGGCAGGCCCAACTCTTAAGTGACTTTTGTTTCATTGCAGATATTTGGATATAGAAATGTAGGTTAAAAACACTGAAGGATGAACTGTAGTCCTGTAGCAAGGGAGGTGGCCTGGCAGATGAGTGCAGTGAGGGAGCTGGGCTTCCTCTCTGATTCTTAGACCCATGGGATGGTGACCTGAGGCTGGATCACTCCTCATGAGTGCATAAGTGCCTGAAAGTCTGTGCTGCCAATTACATGGTGCTTGCTGTTACGCCACAGAGCTAAACAGCCTTTTCCCTAGGAGAGCTAAGACACTTTCTCTTGCACTTTTCTGTCGTTCCTGGGAAGCTCTGTAACTACTGGCAGTCTCTTGCATTGTGGATACATAACCTCACAGATGTTCCTGTTTTACAGAACATGCAGGGGGGTACCAAGTTACATGGGCAGCTGGGACATGGAGATAAAGCCTCCTACCGGCAGCCAAAGCATGTGGAGAAGCTGCAGGGAAAAGCCATTCGCCAGGTGTCCTGTGGGGATGACTTCACAGTCTGCATCACAGGTAGGAGTTGAAAGGGGACTACAGTGAACGCTCCCTTTGCTGTGCTGTGGAGGTGCTTGCCTTTGCAATAAGATTACTAGATCAGTTGCTAATCCATGTTTTACTTCCCAATGGTTTTGCAGAAAATAGGTGCAAAAGGGGAGGTAAATCCACATTATTCTACAGAGGAAGATGCTGAATCCCAAGAAGGGTGACACTGTGGCTGCATCCCTTTGTGGAGCACCTTAAGGTTGAAATGAGAGGTGGATTTGAGACTTGCTGTTTAATTCAGAAAAGCTTGAGACCTGGTGGCTGCTTCTAGTTCTAATCTTTTTAATACTTTTAAGGATGTATAAGCCATGGTATTGCCTGTTGTAGGAAAATTCAGATCATGCTCTGCCCTTGAAAACACAATTCTCAACAAGAGATTTTCCAGTTTGTTCTGCCAGTTCTGGAAAAGCAGAGTCTGGCAGAGATGAATTCACTATCACAGCACACTGAGCATTTGACTTAGGGAGTCTCAGGGTCAGTTTGTGGGTTTCTGTTTAAAAAAAAAAAAAAGTGGCAGGTTCAGCACTATATTTTGTAGTACTGGTGGCCTGCAAAAACTGCAGGTTGTAGCATAAGGTCATCCATCTTCCTGATGAATAGAAAATGCTGTGTAGTCTCCCAGTGCCATTCCTCTTCATTGAAGATGAGGGTGATTACAAAAAATGGATTACTCTTGCCACATCTTGAGAGGTTAATATGCATCCTGTTCCAAGCTGTCCTGCTGACAGTGCTGACTGCTTCCTTTGTGCTCTGCAGATGAGGGCCAGGTGTATGCCTTTGGCTCTGACTATTACGGATGTATTGGCATCGACAAAGCTCAAGGCTCTGAAGTGCTTGAGCCCCTGCAGTTGGATTTTTTCCTTACCAACCCTGTGGAGCAGGTCTCATGCGGAGATAACCATGTGGCAGTGCTGACCAGGAACAGAGAAGTCTACACGTGGGGCTGTGGGGAGTATGGTAGGTAGAGTCTCTCCGGGCCTAGTGGCAGTGGGGCACGGCCGCTCCAGGAAGCGGCTTGGTGCAGGTGTGCAATGCAGGGCCTGGGTGAGGGCTGTCTGCTGTATCCTGGGGGGAAGGATTGCTTCTTTGGGACTCTCTTTCCTTGTGAGAATGGGGACTGGAAACTGAGCCTTTGGGATTTCACTTGGGAAACTTACAGGGTGCTGGGGGCTGTCTCTGGAAGTGGATACTCTTTCTGGGAGTGGGGATGGATTATCTTGAGAAATGGCAAGCAATGATGGATGTAGAGAAGCAAGTTCCTAGTGCTGTGAGGAGATTCCTTTGGGACTAGGGAGAGATCATACTGTTACTTAGGAGCAGGTACTTTGTGTGGCAGTTTCTCACTGCAGTGTTCTTGCTGATACAGGACGCTTGGGCTTGGATTCAGAAGAAGATCACTACACCCCTCAGAAGGTAGGGCTTTCACTGCCTCTTCTCAAAATCTGCATGGGCATAAATGCAGATTAGTCCCTGTTCTGAAGTATTGACTGTCTGAAATAAAGGGGTGGGTGTGCATGTGTGTGCCTTATTTATTTATTTATTTATTTATTTATTATCTTGAGGTATTACAAAGTTTGTAAGAGTTTTACCTTTACTTTGCTTCATTTGTCCTTGGATGTGCTGTCCCCAAACTGGCTAACACCTTGATTTAGAGATTCATGTCTCTGATCTCCAAGCTGAAAGTGAAAATGCTGAACTTGGAGAACACTATAGAAATCTCAGTAGGAACTACCAAATGCCATACTTCAGTTCTGTAGGGGAAACATGCAGCATTGCAGACAATTGGGAATCTTTGAATTTGACATGTGTTAAAGACAAGTTGAAAGTAAAACTTCATTAAAATGTTTACTGTATTAATGTTTAATGTATTAATTCCATTGCGGGTAGTATAAACAAGAAAGGAAACAATAAACCAAGGTAGTAGAAACAAGGAAGGAAACAACAAACCAAGGGCCAAGTTTAACTTGTTGGTATTCCTCTTAGCTGCAGGGTTATACAGGGCAGATCTGCATCATGCATGGCATGCCTGGCTCTCCCAGGTTGATGTCAGCTGGAACTGCTGGGTGCACAGAGCACATTACATGGCTTAGATGGTGGTGCCTGGAAGCTGTATATCTGCAGTCAGCCAGTATTGCACCCATGCAGCACAGACCTAGCCCTGGGCTGGGTGCTTCTAAATGCTGGTTGCTGAGATGCCTGTGCATCATATTTCTCGTTCCTTCTCTTCAGAACTGTCTCCATAACAATGTCTAGATGTGTCTTAATTTTCTGTATTGTGGCTGGAGTTTCTCAGTATGCCTTAGATTTTATGGTATTATTACACCTTCATTGAAGCAACCACATTAGGTGCTGTCAGTGCTCAGACTAACTGAACCACTGCTCTAATTCTGTATGTTTTCCATGGGCCCCACTAGATTTTGTGCTGGGATTTTGATTTTCTCATGATTCGTTTCTTTTATGTAGGTGGATGTTCCAAAGACATTAAACATCGTGTCTGTTCACTGTGGCTGTGATGGGACTTTCCTGCTCACCCAAACAGGCAAAGTTTTGGCATGTGGACTCAACGAGTTCAACAAGTTGGGCTTGAATCAGTGCACATCAGGGATAATTAACCATGATGTAAGTGCATGCGGATCCCTAGTTCCGACTTCAGCAGTCAGTAGCACATGGGGAAATAGAGGTCCTACAGCACTGACAGGGAGTGCATTAGCTTTTTGCCAGTCTGTTAGTTCCAGTCCAAGAGAATGGATATTGGTATTATGAGAAGAGGCAAATTGTTCTTCAGCTTCCTGTTTGCCCTACGGGCTCATGTCAAAGCTGAGGCAATAAAACAGCTAGTGGCCTGTGTCAAGGCCATGCACGTAGTGACATGGGATCTGGCAGGAGCTTCCCACAGCTAGGAGCGGGCTGAGCTAACACTGGGGTGTGTCGAGACCTGCTTGAGTAGCCTTAACCGGTGAACGTCTGTTTTTTCACTCTGTGCTTACCTGGACGTTGTCTTTTCTTAGACATACTGTGAAGTGCCCTACACCACTTCCCTCACTTTGGCCAAGCAGCTCTCCTTCTACAAGATCCGTACCATTTCTCCAGGGAAGACCCACACAGCTTCTATTGATGGTGAGCCCCACTCGCACTCCCCGGGGATGGGCCCCACTTTTGCTGAAGCCAGAGAAGGGAATTCTAAGTTGGTGTGCTCAGAAGTGGACACTGGTTGCCTGACTATTCTACATCAGCTTTGCCCTTTTAGCCTGGCTTCTCTGGGTGAAGGAGCAGATCCATGCAGGGGTTACAGTGGCACTGAGGGTTACACTTTGGTAGCAGGACTCACAGCTGGCTCATAAACCTCAGGACTGCTGCCTCCTGGCCAGCTGAAGCAGCAACATTAGTTACTGGGGCAGTCCTATCTCTGGAGGATTTGGGGAGATTTATGCTTTGGAAAAGTGGAGAAAACATTTTTCACTCTTAATAGGGCAATGTGAGACTTGGTTGGAGGGCTGGAGGAGTCCCACCTCCTAGCCTCAGAAAAGGGGAGTAAGGGGAGGAAGAGCCAGGGAGGCAATTCCCAGCTGCAGCCATTCCCCTTGGCTGGCACTGTCCCCTCCTGGGGGCCGGCTTCCCAGGAGTCCTTGCAGATGTGGGGCTGCTGCTGGTGGCTGCGTGCACGCGTGGCTGCTGCAGAGGTGGCCCTCGCCGTGACCGTCTCCTCATTCCTCCTCGCAGAGCGAGGCCGCCTGCTCACCTTCGGCTCCAACAAGTGCGGACAGCTTGGCGTTGGGGACTATAAGAAGCGCCTGGGAATTAACCTGCTGGGAGGCCCCTTGGGGGGTAAGCAGGTGATCAGAGTGTCGTGTGGAGATGAATTCACCATAGCTGCTACTGATGGTGAGTGGCTCTCTGTGGGCTTGTGGTGGGTTCCTTTGAGCTACATCTGCAAGATGGTTGCCTGGCTCCCACTGAGCATTTCTTAGACCATCTTCCACAGCACTTCTGGAATAAAGAAATCCTCATGGACATGGCCCTGTGCCCGGTCCCAGTGCAGCGCCAGGCATTTGCTGTCCTTGGGGCTGTGGAGTGCTGGCTTGCAGGCTGCAGCTTAGAGCTGTTGTCAGTTTGCCCTACTGCTGGCATGCTGGAGCTGGAACAGGCTGCCCAGAGAGGTTGTGGAGTCTCCTTCTCTGGAGATCTTCCAAACCTGCTTGGACGCAGTCCTGTGCCACGTGCTCTAGGTGACCCTGCGTGTGCAGGGGGGTTGGACTAGATGACCTCTAGAGGTCCCTTCCAACCTTAAGCATTCTATGATTGTATGGTGGTTATGGGCTTTGAGATAGCATTTACGACAGAGATGCTGAGATCCCTGCAACAGTTATAGGTTGACAGCGAGTGACTGGATGCTCCTGAATTTCTCTTTCCTCAGATAATCATATCTTTGCATGGGGCAATGGTGGGAATGGGCGACTGGCAATGATACCAACCGAGAGAGCTCACAGCTCAGATATTTGTACCTCATGGCCTCGGCCAATATTTGGATCTCTGCATCATGTCCCTGACTTGTCGTGTCGTGGCTGGCACACCATCATCATTGTGGGTAAGTGTGAGTACACAATGGATTCTTTCTAGAGTTAGGTTAGGGTGTGATACACAGTTTGCCAGGGCCTGGCCTATAAATCCGGCCTGGGAACAGGCCAGGTTGCAGCGGGGGAATGTGGTGAGCCCTTTCCAGCTGTAAGACTGCAACACTGGCTTTGTCCCGTGCCATTTATAGGAGTTCCCTTGTTCTCCATGTGGCCTCGTAACTGAAGGAGTGTGTTCTTTCTCCCTGCAGAAAAGGTGCTGAACTCTAAAACCATTCGATCCAACAGCAGTGGCCTGTCCATTGGCACTGGTGAGTAACCAGCTGTGGGGAGCTGCGTTTTAAGCCAGTTCAGTGGTTACTGTGACTGGTTGCATGCAGCATGGTTTTTCTGTTTTTGAAAGGCTTTACAGAAACATGTGAAGGGAAGATGTCCAGTTAGTGCAGTGCGTGGGAAGGGAAGGGGCAACGCTGGGAAGAAGGGGAGGACTGAAACATGAGGGAGCACAGAGAAGCAGTAAGGCCTTTGTAGTGAGAAGCTTCAGTTTGTCATAGAAATGGTGAGAGCAGTTCACTAAGGGAGCTGAGTAACATAGGTGGGTTAGGGGGAAGCCGTTGGAAAGATTCAGTCCAATGTCATGGACCTATGAGAGGGCCAGGGGGAAGAAGATGCAAGAGGCTGCAGCTGATGACCTGTTCTGGGGAGGCCTGCAGCAGTGCTGGGCAGGAGGCAGCTCCCTGGGGAGACGCTGTGGGTATGTGTGCTCCCCAGGGCTGCACGGACCTGGCTTGGGGAAGCCACCTTCTGTGCCCCAGCTAGGGGCTGGCAACGCCTGTGGCCGCTGGAATAGCGGGGTTGGGAAGAGTCTGAAGCTGTCACTTTTCTTGTTTGTTAGTGGCTCAGAGCTGTACCACTGGAGGAGGAGAAGAGGAGGAAAATGAAGGGGAAGCAGAGACTCCTGATCCCAGTGGAGGGTTTCGAGGAACCATGGAAGCAGATCGTGGAATGGGAGGCTGGATCAGTGCTACAGAAGCGAAGGGGAGTGACATTTCTGACAGCAGCTCCTGCCCTGGGTGGCTGCGCAAGGTAATGGGCTGTCTCAGAAATGCCTTAAAACAGTCATCGAGGCTGGGGAAAAGCAAGGGGCCCTTTCTGTAAGGGCTACTCAGAAAGGAGTTTATCAGAGTAGCGGGTGCTCCTCTGCTGCTCTCACCTACTCTGCAGCTCTCAGAGTAGCAGTTTCCAGTCTGCTTCCGCAGAGATTGCAGAGCCAACTCATGCTGCCCGCCCTGCAGTAGCTGCTGGGGTGATTCTGGCAGTAGCCTCGCTGCCTCCAGGCAGCTGGCTGCCCTGGGGTGGAGGGTCCTGCTCGCCAGCCCAGCCTCCAGCTGTGGCTGTGTAAAGAAATCTTCACCCATAGCTGATATTTTTTACCACGAGAGGGTGCTGGTGAATTGACTGAGGAGACTGAAGTCAGCTGCAGGAGTGGGCAGGCCTAACAGTGCTGCTTTGGTTTGTTCAGGAGCTGGAGAATGCTGAATTCATCCCTATGCCTGACAGCCCCTTTCCTCTGAGCATGGCATCCTCGGAGCCTGAAAAGGAGACTCTTCCTTACCAGGAACTTCAAGGACTAAAAGTGGCCCCCGAGGAATCTACTGGATTCAACAAGCCCAAAACAGAGGCCTGGGTAACGTTATTTAGGTTTCCCACAGTGAATGCTTGGCAAAAATATCCTGGGACCGTAAAACAGCAGTGTATGAATTATGGGGAGAGCTCGGAGGGGGGTGTTGGATTGGCCTTATTCTTCTGGATGAGGAAAAGAGGAGTGTTGATAATCAAAGATGATATAGCAAATACTGTGAAGAGAATGATTCAAGGCAGTCTAGAACGTGAGGCAGGAGGCTGGTGAGATTAAAAGAAATCTGGGGAAAAATGCAGTTAAGGCATTTGAAAATGCCCTAGAAGCCCACCAAAATTATAAATCCATTGAGAAAGCATAAATTGCTATGAGATGGAAGAGGCATTTACATAGGAAATTACAGAGAAGTTATGGCCTTATGAGACTGCTGTATTCCAGGAGCATCTGTTCCATGAGCAGGCACAGATCTGAGTCTTAGGGTTGGGGGTTGGACCAGATGGATTGGGGCGACAGGAGCACCTGATCAGCTTCCTCAGAAAAAGGAGGAAGGTCATGGCTTGGTAGCAGAGCCTTTACCAATCTGCCTGCTAGAAGCTTTGGAAGTTGGGACTCAGTGGGGGTGATGGCCTTTGGTGCATGGTCTCTTACTGTGGCATATGCGACCCTTGGTTTAGAAGTTCCTTTCCTTGCACGCAAACGTGTCTCATTTCCCCTGTGTAGCCACGCGGCGGAGGGGAGGCCGTGGCTCCTGTCGCGGGCTGTGCCTGCAGTGCCCTGCAAGCAGAAGTGGCCCATCTCCGGGGCCTGGTCTTGCAGTGTCTGGATGAGCAGAAGAAGCTGCAGCAGGAAACCGTTCGTCTGAGCACCCAGCTCCAGAGGTTCTGCAGCGGGACGGAGGGAGTGCAGTGGGTGAGCATCCAGCAGCTGGGGTTCTGGCTGTGTGCCCATGCTGAGGGCTCAGGAGCCTGATCCTGGCTCGTGCACAGCCTGTGGAGGCTGCGGGAAGGGAGGTAGCTCATAACAACCCCTTAAAGCAAAGCTTGGTGGAGCTGCTGACACTGGCTCCAGTATTAGTAACAGGAATAAAGCCAAGAAGTTGGTTTCCTGCGAGGACAGCCCAACCCTGGAGGGATTTGGGATTCCCCTTTATTTCTTCTGGTGAGAAATGAGTGGTAGTTAGATATTTGGGAGAGTCCAGATGGCTGTGGAAAATAGGAGTTGTGCTTTGTGTGGTTCCTAGTTTCTTCACAGCCAGTCCCAGAGCTGTTCCTGAGAGTTGCTGTGTTTAATAGGTGGAAGTTCATTCCAAAGGAACCCAGACAGCCAAAGAGGAGATGGAAGTAGATCCAAAACCTGACTTGGATTCAGATTCCTGGTGTCTCCTGGGAACGGACTCGTGCCGCTCCAGCCTCTAGTCTCCTGAGTCCACTGGGATCCATCTAACTTCACAGCACACTAACCGAACGCAGAGAGCGGCTTTCCTGGCTTTGGGTCACTCGCAGACAAGGAGCGAGGCCGGAGGCTCCAGAGCAGCACCCATGTACGTTTGATATGAACTAGGAGTGAGTTTGAGAGGGAGAGGACCCCTGAGCTCCAGGCCAGCTCAGTGATTGAAGCAGCAGCAGTTCTTCTTTGTACCTCATCTGTCAGTTCTGCACGTGAGGCAGAACAGCCCCGTCACGGCGATGGCTCCAGTAGTGGCTTGTGGACCTTCCATTGTTTCACTGCTTCTTGGGAGCTGCCTTTGGGACCCCAGTTTTCATCACTGCATTTCTAGGTATGAGGAGGAGGAAACATGTTTTACCGAAGCAGGCTGAACCCCAACACTTGCCACCTCCACTTTACAAGGGCGAAGGACTTGGATCCTCTCCCTAGCACGTGGTAAGGCCCAGCTGGTGAGGCTGTTCCCCTTTGTTCAAGGGCAGAGGAAACAGAAAACGTCTCATTCTGGAGGCAGTGGAGATCTCCCTGTTGGGGAGATGATGGCAGACAGCATGTCCCGGGCCTCCTGGCCCTATGGCTGTGTCCAGTGGCCATCATGGAGAGAATTTAAAGGCTTAATTCTGGGGCCTCAAGCCTTCCACCTTCCAGGCACTGCAGAGAGACAAGTGAATCAGGTGCAGTTTCCAGCAGAGAGGACTCTCTGGGATGGGATCTCTGGTACCCAGTTTCAGACCACCTGCTTTCTAACAGGGTGACGAGTGTCTGAGTCTCCAAGTCACCTGTTTCTTCCTCCAGCTGTTCAGCGTGGTTTGGGTGCCAGAGCTTCTGGTTTCTTGGCATAAACCCATAGCTGCCCTCTGCCTGGCTTCTGTTCTGCTCAGCCCCTGGCACCCGTGATCTGTGCGGGTGTGGGAAGGATCAGTATTTTTTCTACTCAGTGTTTTGATGAAGTTGGAATGTAGTTTCCTACCCAGAATAGGTCATTAATGCCTTGGTCACAGGATGCAGCCTTTCCCAGTGACTGTGAGTGATCAAGTCTGTGGCCGGAATTCACCCTCTTTCTAGAAGCAAGAGGCTTTCCCAAGGAAATTGGAGATGGGAAGAGGTCTTGATGCTCAGAGTTACCTCATTTCCGATTAGATAATTAGATTAATTTTATTCTCTCTCTCTCTTTTTTTTTTTTAAAGTAAACTGTTTTTGGACTAAGCCTGTGGGATTTGGTGGGGCACCCAGGAACAGCTATCCCCCCGCTTCTCTCCCCCCCTTACCTGAAGTGTCTAAAGAGTCCCAAGTCCCTCTCACCATTGCTGGGAGAGTGGGGCTGTGACTTCTGTTATCCTTAAGTCATCCCCGTCACTAGAATTGCCTTGGGTCTGTTGGAGATGGCTCTGCTGTCACCTCTCCTAGACCTTTTCCTTCAAGAGGCTGTTCTTGGGGACCTAGCATTCCCCCGTTGTCTCTGGAGGTGAAAGCCAAGCTATTCTGCTTGTAATCAGTGCTCCTTAAAAACTTTCTCTGGTGCCTATCACTAGTACCTTGGAGCTCAGTCAAGAGCAGACTCTCCAGGGCAGTGTTTGGGGCAGGGATAAGGCCAGTGTGTCTGCCCGTTATTCCTGAAGGAAGGGCAGACAGGAGGACGGCCCTCGTGGGAGGTGGCAGTCATCAGGTAGCCACATCGCTGAGTAGCCCCCGTGACTCTGCCCTCTCTTCCCCTGCGTGCCTGGAGCCAGTTCTTGGGTCAGGGTCCCAGCTTGATGGTTGTTGCTGCCGTTGGAAATGAATGAGCCGGTCGTGCCGCAGCAGAGCCTTCGAGGAGCGAAGAGCTGAGCCTGAGCTGTGTCCAGTAGTACTGAGCACAGGGGAGTCGCTCTCCTACAGTGCACCAGCCTCATTTCTCAATGCTCTGCAGTTGGGAAGCTAGCAGCACGGACTGGATTCCCCTCGGATCTAGTGGAGGATTAGGGTCCCTGACAGAGGATACCCTGTGCTCTACAATCTCATTCGTGCCTTAGAGGATTCACGCTATCCAGGTTGTGCCTATTACAGACCACAGACTTCACACCAGCTATGCAACCAAAAAGGCAGTTTAAAGCCAGCACCTTCGTCTTGGCCTGAAAATGGGAAGGCAAGTGGGCAGAAGTGCCTTTGAGCAATTTCAGACCCTTCTGACTTCTCCCCCTCTTGCAGTGCTAGCTCTGTATGTGTCAGTCTCCTGCTAGTATTGCTACTGAGTTGTTATAGTGAAACACAACCTATGCCTGCTCTGACACTCTGGCTGAAAAACTAGTTTGTCGTTGTCTTTTTTTGAAAGGTTAAAGGGTGGAGTGGTTTGGAGTTTCTGTTTCAATAAATGTTTAAACTCATTCTGTGTTCTGCCTCTTTGTAGCACAGGAAGGGGGATATACATATAAGCAGCTGGGATACTGGAGTTCTGTTGTTTTGATTTTGCTTACAGAAAGAGAGCCAAGGGCTTGCAGGGTCATTGCTGTGGAAAAAGAGTCAAGTTCTGCACCTACTTAAGAGAAGAGGGGGCAGGGGGGCAGGTGGCTCTTTTCTCTTGTTGCTGCATCTTCTAGTGACGTCAGGGTTTTATAGTGTGTTGGTTTTACAACAGCTTTGGTGCCAAGTGGGAAATGAGTAATAGGAAGAGACAGGCTCAAAAGGAAGAACCTGTTTCTCAGAACGGCTTCTGCTGAGCGTTTCAGTCTCCAGAGTGAGAACCTGGCTGCCACCTGCTCTGCTGGCAGTTCCTGCACAACATAATTACGTCTGTCACTTTTCTGTTATCAGGGTTTGCAGTAAATTATGAAATGCCTTGAGAGGCAGAACTGGGTTATAGGCTTCTAATTCACCAGCGAGTGAAAGAAATAAAAATGTGGCTTGTTCCTGAGAATGGGCCTGTACTGCAGTAGCAAAAGAAGAAACTGAGCCAGTTTGAGTAACATGGCCCAAGGAGTATTGAGGTAACGGTAATCATGATAGCATAGAAGTAGGGTAAATCTGTTTGCCCTGAACCTTGTGCTGTGGCCAAACTAATTAATAGTTTTTAAAAGTTTTAAAACAGCGACCTGAGACTTTCTGGATGCTGCTGTTACTTTCATAGGTTTGTTCCTTCAAACACAACCCAAAACAGTAGCTTAGCAAAGAGGGGTGAGCTGCCTGTGCTCAACTCTGAAACAAAGCTGACAATTTAAGTCTGGTAATGTATTTTCAAGAACATCTATTTAATTTACAGTTTCTATCACAGAATCAGCCACTTTTTCCTATGTACCACTTAACAGAAGTCCCCAGTGGATAGATTTATTTTTCAGTACCAAAAAGCCTGTGTGTGTGCATGTATTTATCTACCACAGCCAACATTTGCACCCTGATGACTTAAGTCACACTAAAAGCTGCCAATAAAATATAATGCAAAGAAAATTAGTTTATATTATGTGACAGGTAAGGGTACTTAACTATCCTTCATTTAATTCAGTTACCCCTTTCATTAATTTATAGGAGGCTGGCATAAAACTTCCCCTCTACCCCTTTCCATCTTCTTCTCCTGTCACATCACCTCTTGCTATTGTTTATTAATAAGCTCTGGAGTTAGAGTGCAGGTAAAGTGTATAAGCAGAGTCTCTGCTGCGGCTCTGGCCGGGCTTTCTCTCCTCTGGGTTTTGCACACTCGTGCATACCTGGCCAGCCCAGCGCACTGACCCTTGCTGGGACTGACATATTTTTCCTGGGTGGGCCAAGGTATTGGGACTTGTGCCCACATTGCTGTAGACAGAAACACTCCAAGTTTTTTCAGGAATCTGTTCCACCCCTTGCAGGCTGGAGTGTTTGCTCATATGCAGCTTCCAACTAATCCAGTTCAGTCTAGTCCCTTTTTGTCTTTTTCTAGGTTCCCATGAGCTCAGGCTGTGTTGCTGACGGGCTTGCAAAAGGAGCTGCTGGAAGTTTTTTGTTCCTTGTTTGCTTCCTGTTGTAGATTTCTCATACTTGTAGTCAACCCCATTTTGAGAACAAAAAACACTCTGTGACTATTTAACATGGCTTTTACACAACAGAACTAGTCTAATAATATCTTAAAGATCAGAATCTCGAAATAAACTGACCTAGAAACATGTGCATCAACAACTGTCATCAACTACAAACAGATGCTTCCCTAAAAGCATAGGACACCTCCTCCCTCCCTGCCACCCCCAAAAGACATTTTAACAGTGCATGAAAAACTCCTACTTTCAACATAGGCAAAAATCACCAAGAACTACTTTGCAACGCAGGAAGAAAGCAAGAGGAAGGACGCAATTTTTGTCATAATTCCCTTCCCACAAAAGATGAAAATAGCCAGGTGACTCAAGGAAGCACGTCAGCCTTGTGTTTTAGAGCTCCCTGGCCTTCAGGAAAAACTCAAATTGATATTAAATCTAATTTTTTATTTAATCCTGAACATATAAGAGCAAACCAGCTGAGTTTTCAGATGCAAAGTTCCTCAGGGGACTGTCTAGTTACGTAACCTTATTTCTAGCTAAAGTTTATTCATGACCTATTTTTAGTGGTGCGCAGTATTTAAATATTTTTTGTTTCCCGACTGTGAGTTGCAGTTAGTGGTAAGCAGTAACTTTGGGATGGTGGTTCGGTTGCCCCAAGGGCCTGGGCCAGTTGTGGTCATCTCTGCTGTTCTCTGTGTGTGAATTGGCATAAAGATTCTCAGACTATAAGGGCCTGCTGCTGCTAGCTTTGAACGACCCGAATTCTGCTCTTGAGATTCAGAGGACGCAGTTAATAACATTCCTCCCAGGTCTGCTTTCCTAAGTCAAGCAACATCCGCTCCAAAAGATGCTGCATTTCTAAAGGTAGCGCGTTGCTCATCGCCAGGATCAGCACTAGGCTTCCAGAAAAACATTTAAATAAACTCCTAGCTGGTGCAGAACAAGTAGAGACTAAACTTATCAGCTTTCATCATTCAACTTAATAGTGCCACAACAAACAGGACAACATGAAAAATGTCTCAAAAACAGGTCAGGATGCTGTAGTCTTGCACAGTTACTGATGATGGAACTACACAGCCATCTATGTGCTGCTTTCTAATTTGACTACCTGCATCATTCCCCCCTCCCCCTATAAAACTTCTCCTCATGTCCCATCTAATTTGCTTAGTAGTTTTTAAGAATGCAGAATCCATCTTATGGCAAAATAAAATGCTATTGCAGGCAGAACTGGTGTCACTGTCAGCACACTCAGGTGTCAACACCTGCATTCACCTGCAGAACAAAATAAGCCAAAGGCCAATGTGTTCCCTGGCCCAGCTGACTCTCTCACATACCAATGTCAATTTAAGCCCCTAAGCACTGTGCTGCTCTTTACTTTTGTGGTAGAAAAAAAAACCCTGAGTCTTCAAATACCCATAAGCAAAAGGGAGAACAGTTACTCCCAACCAGACACCATTATTGTAAAGCAGGGAGGAAAAGCAGACTTCTCTAAGCTGAAAGCAAAATATGGTTCTAAAGAAAAACCCCTTTCTGATGACTGGTTTATTCTTTGCTCCTGTCTTGGTGACAGCAACAGGTGGAAAGGTACCACATTGAAGACCCTTGAAGGGGCACCCCAAGTGTCACAACCCCCTCGCGCGTGCTCGGGAACCATTGGGCACAAGTCAAAGCACACATACTTTAATATTCTGTTTCCTGAGCTGTTCTCTTGCTGTAGGCACTAGCCCAGCCCTGGCAGCCAGCAGGGAAGGCCGGAGGTGGAACTGGAAGGGGATGTCGGGGCTCAGCAGCGCCTCCTCTGCGGCGGCGGCGGGGGCCTGTTCTTGATGGTTTTGCACTTGGGAACGTGTCTCTCGGCCACCTTGGGGGCAAAGCGTCGGCTGCAGTAGGGACAAGCAACGTAGTCTGGGTTCTCCACGGGAGGCAGCGGGGGCAGCTCGGACACCTTCCCTCCCTTGGAGAGCACGTGCTGCACCTGGCGGGCCTGGCGCAGCGTCTGGATGAACGACTCGTGCTTCTGCCTCCAGTTGCTCTTTCTGGGGGGCTCATCCTGCAAAAGGGAAATGCAGCCAAAGCAGCTGGCACAACAGTCAGCCCCCACTCACTGTCTTACTCTCAGTGTTCAACTTGGGTCTCCCTGATCCCAGCTGTTGATGTAACAACCCCCTAGAGAAGCCAGGTCTCCTCACACAGGATTGAGCAGATCAGCACTCAGGAGGAATCGAAAAAGCTACCAATATTCATATCAGTCCCGCATATGTTTAGGAAAGGCTCAGGAATAACCACAGAACAAGGGCTAAGGAACTGAAAAAGTTGCTAGAGATACTCTGTAGGAACGAGGCTGCATTTTTTCACTGCCTTCACTTAAATTAGTATGTTTTATTACCTGGATTTTCAGCCAGTTCCCTGCACCCTCCTAATGCCACCAGTCCCTGTCTCGTTGCAGCAGATGCACCCTGCCCTCTGACAGGGGCATCCCGGCTCCAGCGAGGAGCGGGTTTCTCTGGGTGTGCACTCCTCACACACATCAAGGACAGTCCATTCCGTTCAGACACCCCTAATCCCACTGCTTGCCCAGTAGCGCCTGCAGCTGCTTCCATTTACGTGCCTGGCAGGTGCATCAGAAGGGATGGCTGGACTGTATCCCCCAGCCCTGGGTACGTGGGAAAGAACTCGCATCCCAGTCAGATTTGTATCCCCAGGTGGGAGGCACGCAGGTGCTACCTGCAGGTTGCAGGTGCCAAAGGGACTGTATGTTACCTGAGGGCTCTCCGAGCTCTTCCACTGCCGATACTGTTCCAGCTCTGTGCCCCTGGCTCTGGCTTTGCTGGAGTCAAACACCTTCCTCTTGGAGCCTTGGCTCTTGCTGCAGATATTTGCGTGCTTCTCAAGCCTGGTGCAGAGAAACTTGCGGCCACAGAAGCTGCACTGTCCTAGTTCCTCCTGCTCCACAGCACTGGTAGCCTGCGTGTATAACACCTCTGTAGCTGGGTGGTCACCAGATTCTTGATCAGAAAGGGTAGAGGCCGAAGGGCTATGTTTTGAGACTGGCTCTGAGCAAGAGCCTAAATCCTCCGCAGGTTTGCGCTCTCGTATCTTGCTGTTGCTGGCCACCAAACGCTCCTTCCTGAGCCTCCCCATAGCTAGCTCCTGGGGATGGAGGCTGGTGCCCAGCTTGAGCCTAGTGACCTCTGGAGATTGCGCCCTACCAAAGTCCCCATCACCAGGCCTGACTGCAAGTCTGAAAATGGTCTCTTCAGAGTGCCTGGTCCTCTCCGGGGTCCTCTCTGCTTCCCTGGCTCTCCTCTCCTCTGCCTCCACTAGCTCCTTCTCTCTTTGAATCCTCCTAAGCTCCTCCTTTGTCCTCCGCAGCTTCTCTTTGAGGATGGCCTCTTTCTTTCGGATCTCCTCTTCCAGATTCTGTCCATCTGCCTCCAGCCTCAGGATGTAGGCCAGCTCTCTCCTATATAGGGGAGACACTGACTGCTTCGCTTCTACTGCCCAAGGAGACAGGACTGCTAGCTGAGACCTCCCTGCTGGCAGCTTCCCTTTGCTCTTTGAGCTAGAATGACTACTTGGAGACTCCTCCATGTATGGGGGGCTCCCGAGCTGTCCTGTGTTGACCACAGGGACGCTCCCAGCCTTGCGGTGAAAGATTGGTTTCAGGGGATACGAACGGTCCACCCCTTCCCTCCGCCTGGCTACTGATTTAGAGGGCAGAGTCTTGGCCTGGCTGGTAAGGTATTTGCTGTGGAGTCCAGCTGAAGAGAAGTCTCCCTGTCTGGAGATGTGTGGATCGTTTTCTGCAGACAGAGAATACGAATAGCGTCGGCTTTGGGGGGTATAGAGATCCTTTAAACTTTCCTCTTTGTCATGTAGGAGTTTGTGATGAAAAGGGCTCTTCAAGTGTTCCAGTTGGGACTGGTGGCCCATGACTTCGGAATTGTACCTTCCCGGGAGCTTGGGGGCCACCACCGCGGAATCCACGGGCGGGAGCAGAGCCAGCTGCGGCTCAGCCATCCAGCACCTGGGCAGCAGCCTGAGGTCACAAGCAGCACCATCACACACCAACCTTCCCAAACCCTGAAAAAATCCCTCCCAAAAGCCTACACCCGGAAGCTCTAAGGAGAAGCCCTAACAAACACCAGCAAAGCTTTTCCAGGTTCTGTTCACCTCCACCTTCCTTCCACCCAGGGGGCTCCTGTGCTGCTGCTTCCAGTCCTACACTGCAAAGAGCCTTTATTTCGCTTTCCCTTGGTGCCTCGTCCTAACGTCGTGGCCAGGGAAATGTGCCGTAACCGCAGGGGAGCCGCGGCAGCGCGCGGGGCGGCAGCGCAGGGGGACGCGCAGCGGAGCC